CCTCTTTCTCTTCCCAAGGGTTTGGAATCAGGAGCCTCTGATTCTGGAGTCGGCATTTGACTGTCCTGACTAGTAGTCACCATTGGCCTTATTCTTTGGGGACTAATCCCTCTTTAAAGCCATGCAAATAGTGAAAGAAGAATGGCAGATAAAATTAATGGACTACACAGATTTAGATAAAATGGCAGGAAGGATTTGAAATCTGCAGGACCAGAGATTTACAGAAGATTGGAAGAAATATACAAACTATTTGAAGAGCAACTGTAATCAACAAATTACGCTAGTAGGACTACAAGAAGTTTTGTAAGGAGAAATATATGAAACATTGCAAAGTAGAGAAAGAATAGAGATGTTAGTTATGAGACTTAAATGCAATAGTGAAGTAAGAAATGTATATTAAGTGAATAGACTGGAAAATTTTTAGATGTGATTGATGGAAGTCAAAAAATTAAATAAGATGTAAAAGTATGTTTCATTACTGTTGGAAATAATATGTTTAAAAAAACCTAATAAAAATTTATTATATATATTAAAAAAGCCATTCAAATAGGTGGCCACCCCCCTACATCTTGCAGCTGGGCGTTCTGCAGTTTAACACTGCAAATAAGAACTTATTTTCGTCTGTCTTGAATCCCCCACCTTTCAGGTGTGTTGGAGGATCCCCACTGGGTTTGAGCTTTACGAGAGAGGGAGGAAGACCTCCTCTCTCTACACCAGAGCTTGCCAAACAGTGTGTCAAGACACATCATTGTGTCGGCTGCGGGTTTGTTGTGCGAACGTTCCCTGCGCTCCTCCCTGGAAAGGGGTTAGTTCAGCCTCTGGTTTGCTAGCAAAACTGAATCACTGTGTCGTGAAACGATGCATGTCTAAAAAGCATGTTTGGAAAGCTCTTATCTGCTCCATGCATAATCTTATGTGCCCTTGTCCCCTTGCACCGTTTCCCCTAAAACCCCAAAGCCCCAAATACTGTTGCCTTTCGTGGTAGGGGAGCAACCTATGGTTAGCATCTGGCGCAGAGCTCTTCCACGGTGCTCCCTTGGCAATCTCCCCCTGAGCTCGTTCGGAGGCCTCTGCCTTGCTGGCCCTTTCCCATCTGGCCTGGGAGAGTGGAATGCGGACTGACTCCAGCTACAAAAACTGAGGCTGTTTTGAAGGGCCTCAGAAATAGAAATTCCAGCATGCTGTTATCAAAGCAACTGTTACAAGACATAGCAGGCAGACAAGACAGGCAAGGCCATAGCAGGCAGACAACAAAGAATGAGTAAATTAAGAAGTGTTAACCTTCAAAAGGAGAAACATGGAATGGTAGAGCCTGATTGGATAAGAATGTAAAGTCTCACTCTCTGTTTTTTTGTTTTTTTGTTTTTTTGTATAGACTATAAAAAGTGGGCGCACCCTGATTGGGGTGTGCAGATTGCGAGATTGTTGTGCTGGACCTTTGCTTTGCATATGCATTTCAAATAAACCCTGTTATAACCTGCAAGGACGTTTGCCACTTTGTGTGAATCTGTGGTCTGAGGACCCAATAGCAGATATGGAACAGGTCCAACATTTTGACAGATTCTCGGGCTGGAGGATTGTTTCCTGGGGTTTGAGAGAGCTGTTGCTGTTACTGATATTATCGTTGTATCTTTAGTTTTAGATCTTATGATTTACCGTATTTTTCGCTCTATAGGACGCACCTTTTCCCCTTCAAAAATGAAGGGGAAATGTGTGTGCATCCTATGGAGCGAAGAAGCCATAGCCCCGCGACCCTCTCCTGGCTGGAGAGGTGACGCGCGGCTATGGCAGCAGCCTTTCCACTGCACGCCTTTCCGCTGCTCCCCGACCTGCTCTTTGGGGCTGGCGGTGGGCTTCCCCCCGCCAGCCCCAAAGAGCAGGTCAAAAGGAACCTGAAGCGCATCGACCCCTCTCGCTCTCCAGGCTTCCAAGGTAGCCGCCTGAAGGCGACTGAACGCACCTTAAACGGCACCTTGTTTTAGAGGGGGAAAACAAGAGGGGGGAAATTCTCCCCCTCTCTGCGCAGCCAGCGCCATTTGGTTGTGTGCTTTCTGATGTGTTTTTTTATTGTTTATGACTTCTGTTATGTTTGTAATTATCTTGCCATGTTGTAAGTCGCCTTGAGCATAGTTTCAAACTATGGCAAGGCGGCATGCGAATAAAGTATTGATGGTGGTGATGCTCACCGTCACAGTCTTGGCATCCATCTCGGTGAAGATAAATTCGCCCCCTTCGAAATCGCTGTTCATGTACAGGAGAGCACTAGCAGGAGAGAAAGCGGGAAGGTTAGACTCAGCGGAGGGAGCCTGGTCCCAACCTGCTCTGAAGAAAGTCCCTCTCATAGCGCCGGAAGTGGAATTTCTGTTCGTCTCATTATCAGGGTGGCCCCCGTTGTGTCTGGAAAAGTGCCGTCTAACCACAAAACTGGTAAGAAATGGTTTAGGAGGGACACTGACTGTTAAACTAAAAAACATCTCCAGAGAAGGCACAAGGAGGGTTCTGCATGTACACTGAAAATTTGCTGACTAAAGCAACATTTCAAGGACTTGGTTGGATTAAGATATTGGTGTTGGTACTGACCTTAAAAGCCCTAAACGGCCTCAAAGGCCCAGTATACCTGAAGGAGCATCTCCACCCCCATCGTTCAGCCCGGACACTGAGGTCCAGCGCTGAGGGTCTTCTGGCGGTTCCCTCACTGCGAGAAGCGAAGTTACAGGGAACCAGGCAGAGGGCCTTCTCGGTGGTGGCGCCCGCCCTGTGGAACACCTTCCGAACAGATGTCAAGGAAATAAACAACTATCTGAAGTTTAGGAGACATCTTAAGGCAGCCCTGTTTAGGGAAGTTTTTAATGCCTGATGTTTTAATGTATTTTTAATCTTTTGTTGGAAGCTGCCCAGAGTGGCTGGGGAAACCCAGCCAGATGTGTGGGATATAAATAATAAATTATTATTATTATTATTATTATTAGGCGATGGGGTGGCAGAAAGTGGTTGGGGAGCCCATGAACGGCTTAGACGGTGTATATTTTTTTCTGAAACAGAGAATTTCCCATGGAAATTGCGGGTTCCCAACCCTACCTGTAATCTCGGAAGGTGTAAGCGGGGGGCTCTTTCCAACACTCATTGGCTTCCGGGTCCAGGAGGCAATTGTCAGCATGGATAGGGTGGCTGAGGTCATTCCTCCGCTCCTGGTGGCCTGCAGTGTGCAGAGAAAAGGGAGGTTCAGCCTTGCTGGCAACTTCTCACTTCATCCTGGCTCTCACTAAATAAACGGCAACAGATTATTTCATTGTTGCTGTGCAAACTACTGAGTCATGACTGGCCATATTTTCAGTAATGTACGCGGGTGGCACTGTGGGTTAAACCACAGGGACTTCCCGATCAGAAGGTCGGTGGTTCGAATCCCCGCAACAGGGTGAGCTCCCGTTGCTCGGTCCCCGCTCCTGCCAACCTAGCAGTTTGAAAGCATGTCAAAGTGCAAGTAGACAAATAGGTACCGCTCCGGCGGGAAGGTAAATGGTGTTTCCATGCGCTGCTCTGGTTCGCCAGAAGCGGCTTAGTCCTGCTGGCCACATGACCCGGAAGCTGTATGCCGGCTCCCTCGGCCAATAAAGCGAGATGAGCGCCACAACCCCAGAGTCGGTCACGACTGGACCTAATGGTCAGGGGTCCCTTTACCTTTACCTTTATGCATTGTTATGCAAGCTTTCCCTTAATACACAGAATTCTGTTCACCTTATTTACCTAGAGAATTGTATTCACATTCTTCTGGAGGATTTCAGAGGACAGCTGTGTTTTGCTTTACATGTTGTTTCACAAAGCACAGATTCCCTCCAAGTTCATTTATTTCATTTGCTTAGTGAATGCTCATAACACTTCATATCTTCACAGAAATCTCCCAATGGCTTACAAATCCCGGCAAGCAAGAACCAGCAAATTATTGGGGGGAAGCCACATAAACCTATAGTGAGGAGGCGACCGCATTCGAGTCTGAACAATGCCTCTACCATGGATAATTCTGCAATTCTGCATTCTAAGTTATGTGATTCAACCAACATCTCTGAACAGCATGCAGAAGGGAGGTTTGGCAGACTGGAAAGTTTTTTGAGGCAGGCCTTACCTGACAGAGCCGTCCGGCACACCAGGTGCGTGTAGGAGAAATAGAGGGTGGAATTGAGCCTGAAGTACGACTCCACGATCCTGCGGGCTTTCTCGCTGACATCGTAGAAGAGGCGGGCGCTCCCCAGGGGAACTCTCCCCTCGTAGCCAAACTGCGGGCAAACCAGAGTGCAATTGTTCCCTCAGTTCCAAATTCAGCCCACCTTCAACCAAGGATGTGGAGAGCTTCTCCTCAGGGCCATCTTAAACATATCCGGCGCCGTGGTGCAAAGCTCCCTCTGGCGCGCACACACACACCCCAGTTTCCCAGAGTTGTTGACCTTTTTGGGGGGAGGACAGCGCTGCCAGCGGGGCTGGAGGAGGCAGGCAGCAGCTGGAGGGCAGCTCCTCTGACGGGGAAGAGGCGGAGGCTGGATGCGGCGCCTCCTGGCTCAGCTGGATGCTCCGTGCCATGGTGGCCACGGCAGAAGGAGGCTCCAGGCGTGGCACTGCTTAGGCGCGGCATGGCGGAGGCAGGCAAGGGCGGTGAGCTGATGTCGGGAGGCCTCTGCCTCTCCCCTGGCGCCCTCCAGAACTTGCTGTCCTGGCGCCCTGCACCACTAGCCTCTATGGGGATTCTCCTACATCAGAACACAAGAAGAGCCTTGCAGGATCAGGCCAAGGGCCTACCACTCCCAGCATCCTGTTCCCAACCAGGGGCCAACCAGTTCCCCGCAAGAAACCCAAGGGAAGTTTTGAACACAAAAGCACTTTCTTCCCTCCTTGTGGTTGCCAATAACTGGGGTTCAGAAGCACCACTGCCTCCAATTGTGGATACAGGTAGGTAGCCGTGTTGGTCTGCTGTAGTCAAAACAAATTTTTTTAAAAAAAAATTCCTTCTAGTAGCACCTTAGAAACCAACTAAGTTTGTTCTTGGTATGAGCTTTTGAAGTGTGCATGCACACAAAAGTTCATACCAAGAACAAACTTAGTTGGTCTCTAAGGTGCTACTGGAAGGATTTTTTAAATTTTATTTTGTTCCAATTGTGGAGGCTGAGCAGAGCCATCCTGGCTAGGAGCCACTGACTGCCCCCTTGTAAGGCATGGGGAGTCCTCCTCTCCCTTTGGTAACTTCACAGATAAGAACTAACAAGCAGTTGATATGCTTATATAGTCATACCTCGTGTTAAGTTTGCTTCATGATACGTTTTTTCAGGTTGCGTCCCACAGTGACCCAGAAGTACCGGAAAGGGTTACTTCTGGGTTTCACTGCTTGCGCATGCGCAGACACACAAAATGATGTCATGCACAGGTGCAGAAGCGGCAAATTGCGACCCGCGCGTACACAGATGCGCCACTGCGGGTTGCGTTCTATTCATGTTTCAAACGGGCCTCTGGAACGGATCCTGTTCACAGCCAGAGGTACCACTGTAGTCCTTTTATTACAGTGTCATGTTGCAAGCACAAATATACAGCTCTCCGCAAGGAGGGCAGTTGCCTACTCTAAACCCTCCTTCCGACTTCTGCAGCATTCTAGGCGCCAACGGGGAGTTCCTCCCTCCCTCTGCCTCCTTTGCTCTCTGACACGTCCGGACCTCTGAGTCCGTGGTGAGGGGGGGTCCCCCACACTCTTGACTGATGTCTCTTCTAGCTGTCCCCTCCCTTCTGGCTCCCTTGTCATTATCTCATAACTAGGTAATTCCTCCCTAACCTGTTCAGCTTCTGTCTCTCTCTCTGCTTCTGAACACACTATGGACGGGGTGGGGGGTGGGCGCTTCCCCCTCCAGCTCTCAATCAGAGAGAAGCTGGTCATCATCAGACCATTCCCTGACACCTCTCCTCCATGGATCCGTCCGATCCTCAATTTAAGCCATCCCGGTTGGTGGCCGTCAGTGTGGCAGGGAGTTCCGTTGTTTAACTCTGTGCTGCTTGAAGAAGGACTTTCCTTTTATCGACCCTGAGTTTTCCAACGGTCAGTTTCGTTGGATGTGCACGAGTTCTAGTGTTCGGAGAGAGGGAGGAAAACTTCTCCCTATCCACTCTCTCTGTGCCATGTACAGTTTCTTAAAGTGCTATCGCAGGGGTCAACAAGGTTTATCTTGCCTGGGCCAGATCAGTCCCGCAGAGATCCCGCTGTGGTTCTGGATTGCACCTGTGCGTGAGCCCGCAATTTTCGGCATCTGTGCAGATGTGATTTTTGGCACCACGGAAGCAAGTCCCCGCACCATGCTGCTTCAGCGCAGCGCACGAGTGGGCAGCTTGGTTCGGGGGCGGCTCGTGGGCCAGTCAAACAACCTCCACGGGCAGCTTCCGGCCCATGGGCCTTAGGTTGCTGACCCCTGTGCTATCATGTCACCTCAAAGGGCTCATCCACACCGCTGTTTGCCCCACCACTTTTCCCTGGGGAACTCATGGTTTACCGCTGAATCGGACCAAATGAAAATTGGGTTTTATGCGGATTGCTGTTTGTTCTGATTCAGCACTAGAGAATGGGTTTCCCCGGGGAAAGCTGCAGGGCAAATGCAAAGCCTCTCGGACCCATTCATTCTAGGCATAGGAAAAGTGGAAATGTGCCCTTAATTCACCTTTCCTCTAAACTGAAAAGTCCCAAACACTGCAACATTTCTTCACGCCAGCGTTGAGGTCCAGCTCTGAGGGCCTTCTGGCAGCTCCCTCCCTACGAGAAGTGAGGTTACAGGGAACCAGGCAGAGGGCCTTCTCGGTGGTGGCGCCCGCCCTGTAGAACGCCCTCCCATCAGATGTCAAGGAAGTAAACAACTACCTGACTTTTAGAAGACATCTGAAGGCAGCCCTCTACAGGGAAGAATTTAATGTTTGATGTTTTATAGTGTTTTTAATATTCTGTTGGGAGCCGCCCAGAGTGGCTGGGGAGTTCCGGCCAGACGGGTGGGGTATAAGTAATAAATTATTGTTATTACATTATTATTTCTTCACTCCATTCCCTCGGCCATTTCGGCTGCCCTTCTTTGAACCTTTTTCAACTCTGCCGTATCCTTTTCGAAGCGAGACAACCAGAACTGCGCACAGCATTCCAAATGGGGTTGCGCCATAGACCTCTGCTTCTCTGTTCCTGCCCTATACCATAATCTTTGTTGGAAGCCACCCAGAGTGGCTGGGGAAACACAGCCAGATGGGCAGGGTAAAAATATTAAATTATTAAATTATTAAATTATTATTATGCCATCGAGCTTGGATCAGGAGCTAAAAGAGGAGTTCTGAGATCCCAGGTAAGAAGAGAATCCAGTCGACTGCAAGTTGAGCAGCAGCCCTTGTACCTTGAGAGCTTTGAGGACGGTGGCCCCTTCGAACTTCTCGTTGGGTGTGTGGGGTGACGTCTTCCCCCGGTACCCATCTCCAGCCAGCAGAATTCCCTGAAACAGAAAAAGGATATCAGGATTATTCCAATATGTTGACGCAAGATTGGACTTTCCAGCTTCCAACCTTCAAGGATGACACCAAGGGATTCCATCCACTTGGAAGGTCATTGCAAACCCCAGAGAGATGAATGGGAGAGTCTGCAGGGAGCAACCAGGCTTTCCCATGGGGCGCAAGCTGCAGAATGTCTAGGGCAGGGGTTCCTAGAGTGGGAAGTGCTGCCCCTGGAGGCTGGAGGTATTACTGTGAATTGCATTGCATTTATACAACTGGTGTTTGTTTTTTTTAAAGGATATTGTGTTATGTATGGATGTTCCATTATTTTATCCCTTTGTTCTACACAGCCCTGTGGTCTTTTGACACTGGGCAGAACATCAATTTCTTCAGCAAATATTCAGAAAGCTGCTGCCACACCATTTGGCAAAGGTAGGTGGGCATTGTGTGTAGGTGGGCGTTAGGGAAGGCTGGCTCTGCTGCAATAATCTGCAAGCCTTAAAGCCCCACGAGACTTTTAGTCATCAGTTGCAGCCAAGGCAACAAACATCCTCACTCCATGCCCCAGTTGTGGACAGAATAACAGAAATAATTTGCATTCCTGTGCATGCCCCCAACTTCTCTTGCACCCTGAGTCACCGGTTACTCACATTGGCGACCCGGTGCAACTCCTGACACTCGTCCTCTGTGATCACATTGTCCAGCAGCACCCTCTGGGTCCCGTTCAGCTGCTCTGAGTTGTACACAAATTTTACATCGCTGAAGAGGAGGGGACCACCTGGGAAGAGACAGAGCGAGAGAGATGGAAAATCACTTTGCAAGAGGAGTTCGCTTTTGCTTCTCTCAACCCTCAGATACTTAGCTGGGAGCGGCTTACCACAGAGGAGCAAGACAAAGGCCATGAGCCATTCAACTGACTCGGATGCCTTTTTTGGGATTCCTGCACGGCAGGGGGTTGGACTAGATGACCCCAGGGGTACCTTCCAACTCTAACTTTCTACGATTCATACAGGGCTCTCAGCCATCACTGAGCCGAGCAATTTTCCTCCTCTGCAAACAATGCCAGAACACCTGTAGTTTTCAGTAACAGACCAAGATCTGAATCACACGCTTCAGAACTTGATGGTGGTGGTGGTGGTGGTGGTGATAGGCTTTCACATCGTGAGGATCAGCCCACGAAAGCATCAGTGAGAGTCAGCAGGAGGCTTAAGCACAGCTGTGGCTGGACCAGAGTTGCATTGTTGCTGGATGATGCTCTCACCGTAGCTTAAATCTAATAATAGAGTTGTAGGCTTGGAAGGGGCTCCAAATGTCATCTAGTTTAGGCCCCTTGCAATGCAGGAATCACATCTAAGGAAACCTTGACAGATGGCTGCCCAACCTCTGCTTAAAAATCTCCAAGGAAGGGGAGTCCACAACCTCCTGAGGGAGACTGTTCCACTGTCAAACAGCTCCTATGGTCAAAAAGTTCTTCCTGATGTTTAGTTGAAATCTCCTTTCTTGTAAGTTAAAGCTGTTGGTTCAAATCCTCTCCTCCAGAGCAGGCGAAAAGAAGCTTTTTATATATATATATTTTTATTAGTTTTTTAACATATCATTTTCAACAATAATTAAGCATACTTTTATATCTTATACACTGGGAGCCAGTATAGGACTTTCAAGACTGGAGTTATGTGGTCTTGGCGGCTGCTCCCAGTCACCAGTCTAGCTGCTGCATTCTGGATTAGTTGTAGTTTCCGGGTCACCTTCAAAGGGAGCCCCACATAGAGCGCATTGCAGTAATCCAAGCAGGGAGTTGGACTCGATGGCCCTTGTGGTCTCTTCCAACTCTATGATTCTATGATTCTAAGTATGCACCACTCTGCAGGCAGAGAGGGTCTCATTCTGCGTACCAGATGGAGCTGGTAGACAGCTGCCCTGGACGCAGAATTGACCTGTGCCTCCATGGACAGCTGTGAGTCCAAAATGACTCCCAGGCTGCGTACCTGGTCCTTCAGGGGCACAGTTACCCCATTCAGGACCAGGGAGTCCTCCACACCCGCCTGCTTCCTGTCCCCCCAAAACAGTACTTCTGTCTTGTCAGGATTCAACCTCAATCTGTTAGCCGCCATCCATCCTCCAACCGCCTCCAGGCACTCACACAGGACCTCCACCGCCTTAACTCTGGAGGACTACATCCCACACAAATCACAGAGCAAGCTTGTTTTCTAGAGGGTAGGACCTCTGAACCAATGGATTCAAATGACAAGAAAGGAGATTTCGACTACACCTTAGGAAGAACTTTCTGGCAGTAAGAGCTGTTTGACAGTGGAATAGACTCCCTCGGGCGGTGGTGGAGTCTCCTTCCTTGGAGGTCTGTAAACGGAGGTTGTATAACCATCTGCCATGGATGCTTTAGCTGAGATTCCTGCATTGGAGGGGGTTGGACCAGATGATCCTAGCGGTCCCTTCCAGCTCTACAATCCTATGATTCTATGATTCTGTGTCCAGAAAACGGGGCAGAGAGGAAGGATACTTACAAAACAGAGCCTTCCCAAAAGAATTAAAAAAGAAAACAACGGCAATTAGAACAGCAGCCAGCTGGCTTTTGTGCATTTATTTACAAGGCTGCTAAATCAGCA